AGTGATTGTCCGAGTACAAATGCTTGCAGAACTCGAGGAGATCATCGTCTATAAACAGGCTGATGAGAGGAAGAAGGCTACGATGCGACGCACGTGGGAGAACCGTCTGAAAGGATGTCAAAGGAATGTTGAGGTATGGCAGCGCATGCTACGACTCCGCGGCTTGGTTATTAGCCCCGCGGAGAATATGCACATGTGGATTAAATTTGCAAACCTGTGTCGAAAATCCGGAAGGATGGGTTTAGCGGAGAAGTCGCTCAAACAACTCATCGGCACCGACCACCCCCTCGAGACAATAATACCCTACTGGAGCCAGAACGGCCCCCCTCAGCAAGGCACGGCCGCGAGGATTCCTCCACAAGTTGTCTACGCCGTCTTGAAGTTCTATTGGGAGTACGGACAACAGGCGAAGCTACGCCAAACAGGTCACCCTGAGAAGACGCTATTCTGCCTGAGAAAATTCACGGCTGATTCTGCCCAGAGCCTTGAGATAGCCAGAGCGTCAATACAGGCCGCACCCAACGGAGTAGACCCGATGAGCGACTACGGCTATAATGCTGCAGACGCGGGTATGCCCAGCTCTAGAACGCAAAAGCTAATTCAAGACCAAACGGTGCTTCTTGCAAAATGCTTCCTGAAGCAGGGAGAGTGGCAAGTCTCCCTAAACAAGCACGATTGGCAGCACCACAATGTTCAGGACATCTTAACTTCCTACTCAAAAGCCACTCAATATAATCCGAAATGGTACAAGGCATGGCACGCGTGGGCTTTAGCCAATTTCGAAATCGTCCAGGCTCTCACACCTCCGGCCGATAGGAACGTCCCGAGGCCAGATTCAACTATCATCATCAACCACGTCGTCCCTGCCGTGCAGGGTTTCTTCAAGTCTATCGCGTTATCGTCTGGAAGTGCCCTTCAGGACACCCTACGTCTCCTCACTTTGTGGTTTGCGCACGGTGGCAGCAGCGAAGTCAACGCAGCCGTTACTCAAGGCTTCGGTACCGTCAGCGTCGATACATGGCTAGAGGTAATTCCGCAGCTCATCGCCCGGATCAATCAACCCAACACGCGAGTGCGCCAATCTATTCACAATCTACTCGCCGATGTCGGGCGTAATCACCCTCAAGCCTTGGTATATCCTCTAACCGTAGCGATGAAATCGGCCCAGAGTTCCAGGAGATCGAAGTCGGCGGCACTAATTATGGATAGCATGCGTGCACACAGCGCCAAACTCGTAGAACAGGCCGACACGGTCAGCCACGAGCTTATCCGTGTCGCGGTATTATGGCACGAGCTTTGGCACGAAGGACTCGAAGAGGCTTCTCGACTATACTTTGGAGATCACAACATCGAGGGCATGTTCGCTACTCTTGGGCCATTGCATGAGTTACTGGAGCGAGGACCGGAGACTCTGCGCGAGATTAGTTTCGCGCAGACCTTTGGTCGAGACCTCACCGAAGCTCGGGAGTGGTGCCGCCAGTACGAGTCTAGTCACGATGTGAACGATCTCAATCAGGCATGGGATCTATATTACCAGGTGTTCCGTCGGATTGGGAGGCAACTCCCGCAGATGTCGTCCCTGGAGCTTGCGTATTGTTCTCCAAAACTGCTAGCAGCCAAGAACCTCGATCTGGCAGTTCCCGGTCAATACAAGAGTGGCGCCCCTATCGTTCGCATCCTCTCATTCGATTCAACCTTTAGCGTGATCAACTCCAAGCAGCGGCCAAGAAAGTTGAACACCAACGGGAGCGACGGAATTCAGTATTCCTTCCTATTGAAGGGGCATGAGGATATTCGGCAAGACGAACGTGTCATGCAGCTATTTGGTTTGTGCAACACTCTACTCGCTAACGACTCTGAGTGTTACAAACGCCATCTTAGCATTCAGCAATATCCAGCAATACCCCTCAGCCAGAATTCGGGACTTCTCGGCTGGGTACCGAACAGCGACACATTACATGTGTTAATTCGCGAGTATCGTGAGAGCCGAAAGATTCTCCTTAATATAGAGCACCGCATCATGTTACAGATGGCACCGGACTACGACAACCTTACTCTCATGCAAAAGGTTGAAGTCTTTGGTTACGCGCTAGACAACACCACCGGCCAGGATCTATATCGCGTCTTATGGCTAAAGAGTAAGAGTTCTGAGGCCTGGCTAGAAAGGCGCACGAACTATACGCGCAGCCTAGGTGTCATGAGCATGGTTGGCTACATTCTCGGTCTCGGTGACAGGCACCCGAGCAATTTAATGCTCGACCGCATTACCGGGAAGATTATCCATATCGACTTCGGTGACTGTTTCGAGGTTGCCATGAAGCGAGATAAATATCCCGAGCGAGTCCCGTTCCGTCTTACTAGAATGCTCACATACGCAATGGAAGTCAGCAACATCGAGGGCAGCTTCCGGATTACGTGTGAGCATGTCATGCGCGTTCTTAGGGAGAATAAAGAAAGTGTTATGGCCGTCCTAGAAGCCGTAAGTGATTGTCATTCCTATTAAAAGTTATGTTCCTACTAATACTGGGCCATTATAGTTTATCCACGATCCTTTGCTGACCTGGCGTCTCACTAACGCCGCCTCTCCCGTTGGCCCCAACTTCCGTTCCGAACGCGAATCATCTTTGGGTGCTGGTGCTCAGCGAGCCCGTAGACCGAGTATCCTAGATTCCGAGCACCCGCCTTCCGAATTTCTCGCTGCACAGCAAGCAGCCGGCGCCGTCGATTCGGGCCATCCCGGTGGTCCACTCGCTCCTCGCGCCAGGGCACGCACGAACTCAAGTCTGATTAATGGTACAGGCCAGATGCTTGACGGCGAAATGGCCGAGATACAAAACGCTCGCGCAGTCGAAGTGCTAGACCGCGTGAACCAGAAGCTAACTGGCCGAGATTTCAAACCGACCGACGAGTTGGATATCTTAACACAGGTCAACAAGTTAATCATGGAAGCAACTAAACTCGAGAACCTCTGCCAGCATTATATTGGTTGGTGTTCGTTCTGGTGAACGCACCGCATCTGCCCACGTTGGCTATATCTGTACCCAAAGGAAGTTTTGTAAACTAGTAGATGGGTAGATTTGGTACGGAGTTGGTATGGGATGACAATTATGAGCGGTGATGCAAGGTAGAGCAATTTGCTAGGGCACGTGTATGCCTCGTTCACATTAGCAACTTTACCATAATGATATACCTAGTATTGAAAGCATTCTGTGACATTAGACTTGTAACTCTTTTGACGTCTGGCTACCTAGGTCTCTATGGGATCATAGTCCTATTTTCTCGGCTCTGTGACCATCTTGATTGACATGCCCATTATTAATTATTCTTTTTAGCTGAGCACTTTAGTGGCGGGTTAATCCTGTTATAAAGGGTTCAGCTCTGGCTTTTATAGCTAAGAGTATACTAACAATAGAATCGGCAAAGTCTCTTTTATTACGATACTTCGTATACTATGTATCTTACAATTGATTTGTTAGGTCTTTTTGGGTTTAAAACCGGAACTATTAAGAGTCTTCGCGCAACAGCAATTGTTTCACTACGTCCGTACTTGTATTGTGATAGATCCCATCTTCGGGTAAGTATACATACCTACTTACAAGCCCCTGTTTTGCCATCTTAAGCATGCTATAACCCTTTTTATCTAGGAAAGACGTACATATTCCCTACGAAGCCAGCATATCACAGCTGCGGTAGAGATGAGCGTGGGGGTAAGCGGTGGTAATGAGTCACGTTCAGGAAGCAGTGTGCCGGGAAGTCCAAGACTTGCATAAAGCACACGATATTATTGGGTGATATCTTATGAAGCAGGCTGGCAGGTTGTATCAATTCTGGATTGTCTGTAAAACGTACCTGTGAGGAAAACGATAGGTTTAGCGCCACTTGGTTTGTTTTGTGGGTTATTATTGCATATTTAATACTTAATGTATGAGTATGTACCCGGTGTATGCATAGGAGCGAGTATGGTAACATTGAATGAAGTCGTATTTACTATGCTGGTATAAAGTCTTAATGCCGGCTATGGACCAATGATGTCTCATTCCGAGGATTATCGGGGTGCCGAGTTTTAAAGAGCAAGTATTCGGGTTGCAACTTGAAGTTATTGTAATTACTTAATGTTATAAACATTGGAGTTATTTGCCTTATTCGTTGATTTATTAAGGAAGCGCTTAAACCGCCGAGCTTTGTACTTGTTGCGAAACTGGTTTTATTATCGTGAAAGTGCGATGTTAGTTTTTAAAGACTACATGTACCTACGGGAGCCCTTGATGCCTCGTTTATGTCTGCCTTAATGCCTGACAAGTGCCCCGCAAATATGGATCATTTGGAAACACCCATGTATTCAATAAAACATTAAACAAGGGCAGCATGAAAACTTCCATGCAGTGATGATCTCTTATATGGGCATGTACGGAAGTCGCCTTCAAAAGTTCTGTCCATAGGCCAGCCCCTGTCGGCTTGATAAGGCTTGGCAGCAACTGGCAGCCATAATAATAAATGTACCTCCAAATATACTATACTTTAATCTACTCATTATACTTTAAATATAAAAAGTAATTTATTAAAATATATATTATAACATAAAGAAATTATTATATTTATTAAATATTTAAAGAAATTATTTTCTAATATTTTTAATCGTATGGTGCACCATATGTATAATAAAGGATATATTTTAATATACTTTACGATTTTAGACTGCCAGGTGGGGAAGGCTGCCCGACAGCTGCCAAGCCTTATCAAGCTGACAGGGGCTGGCCTATGGACAGAACTTTTGAAGGCGACTTCCGTACATACGAAAATTTATGTACTTTGATAAATACATCCCGATAAATGGTTAATTGGCAAGGTATTTTATTATCTTGTGTTACCATTTACATACGTGCGATAGCGCCAAATAAAAAGAAATATATTTTAACCTACCTATGTAGATAACAAGTACTTATTATGTCGTAAACAGCATTGGTAACTGTATAAATAAATTAATCTTGCTGGTCGCGTTTGTTTTTTTAAACTTCGCAGGTAGCACCTCCTTTCCATTATATAACACATATATATATGTTAAGTAGGTAGCTTCGCGTCCGATACGCCTACTTCTTTAAAAGGTGAGGTTTGATAAATCTTAAGCTTGAATTTTGAGGTAAGAGCCAACAACCCGACGTCTTTTCTCGGGGGGATTATTTCCTTGGTACCTATTTTATTTTATTTTATTTCATTTCATTTGCACCATTGAAAGCCTACCTATGAAGAACAAGTTTACAAACCCACCAACAGAGTCGTTCCTATCATCTACCCGCATCTATTAAAGACTTTTTGCCCCAACTGTCGATTTTTAACGTTGGACTCCAATTGCCACATTAATCTCATTTCAACTTATACCAGCTCATTTTTATCGAGTAAAAGAGCTACTTGCCTCCTTCAACCGACTCGAATATTCCTTGCCAACGATTTAGTTGTCATTTCAAAAATAGAAAACCCCTCCACTCGTCGTGTTAGTCTCGGCGCGTCTGTTCTCACAATGCAAACTCGGCCTTAAGTAGCGGCCTGAAAACAGGCGATAAACGAGCACTTCTATACTACACCTCCCGGTCAGCATTTTCCCTTCCTCCTTCCCCCTTTCCTTCCCTGCATATTTGTTTCTTATCGTACTGTCTCTTGCCGTCACCCTCACTGACTTGGATGCCTAGGTACCTAGGTTTAGAATACTTTCTTTGGCATTCCCTGGAACTACATGGCAACTACACTCCATGTTATATTCACCCCGGAATTGTACTTCTCATACTTTCACATACATACCTAGGTACTACATAGGTACTATCTGCTTTATTTGATTCACTAGTTTCTGTCAACCAAACGATACATAGCTTTTACTCCACGTACTCATACCATCTTTTACCAAATGGATCCTCCAGCCTCTCTGGACATCCATGAAAGATGGAACGAGGAGAAGGAATGCATGATAGCCAAGCATGCCAAGGAACTTGCTTTTCATGAGGATCTACTTGAAAAGGAGAAGCAAGATCTCCGTGAGAGCAGCGAAAGAGACCTACGGAAATTAAAGGCAACGGTGCCACCGGCCTTGTACAGGGAGATAATCTTGCCTATGGCCGAAAAAAGCCTTAAGAATGATATACGGCAGATTGAAGCTAGCCACCAGAAAAGAACTATGATCATTGAGAAGGAACAGAAGGCGGAGCGTGCTCGTCATGAAATTGCCTATCACGAGAAACTTAAAGTCTCTTTGGCTATAAATGGAGATGCGAATGCACCTGCTGGTGTTAAAGGCAGTCTCATCTCACAGCCTCAAGATGTAAGTATTGAATCCAATCGCACGGAGGGGGATCATCAGCATATGCCGTGGATCTCTTCCGAGTCTCATAATCAAGGCCAGGCCGATGAATCCCTGACTTGCACCGTCCACCATGAAACCATCTGTGGAGAAAGACGTCTGATAATGCGAGTCCAGTCCAAGAAACGCAAGGCATCTACGTCGAAAGAATACCCCCCTAAGCGACCGTGCGTCGAAACATTTACCAATTCCCACCCAACCTTGGCTGGCACACCCTTAGACGAAAATGCTCATCTACCAACTCGAACGATCACATTCGAAGAAGTCTACCAGAATGGTGCCGCAAAACACAAGGATACAATCGTGGAGTGGCCGAGCGGTAGTCGGACGTGGTACATTCTAAAGTGTGAGAAACATGAGGCTCGGTTCACTAAAAATGCTATTCAGGGAGCCGCTAGGCATCTTAATGGTCGAGGTCACGGCTTCCTCGATAGAAACAGGGATATGGCTGTTAGAACACTGGGCTACTTGGTGGTTGACTGCAACGAGGAACTGGTCAAACTTAACAACCAGGTTGCAGAGGAAAGTTACAAAAATGGATATAAGCCACCCCTTGCTAAAACAGAAAAGCAGTCCAAGAAAAGAGATAAGATGCAAAAAAAGGTACATAAGGAAGGGAAAAAGTCGTCTTCGTCATGGACAGCAAAGCTGGGCGCGGATCTCACCCCAAAGAAACCACAAGTTCGGGCTCGTCAGAATTCAGACACACCGACGAATCGCCGGAACACCTCCAACTCACAAAAAATAATTACCAATCCTAAGACATTCAATATTTATTATGGCCGCTGGAAGTCCAACAGTGGTTCAGAGGATAATAATGAAATTTACCCTGTTATGATACTCGGGTGGGATAGTCAGGACGGAAGCGGCCTGAAAGATACTACCCTCGATGACACTGGTCTCCTTAAGAAGACTTCCTTCCCGCCAAACTGCTATATTTACGAATCAAACAAAATAGTTGGCTGGGCACCAGGATATGAAGATGGCGGCGTTAAAGTTGACTCAAGAAAGTTTCCCGTTATGTTCTTCGATGAAGCTCAGACTGTAGCGTGGCTCCCAGCTCGATATCTGACCAAATTCCCTCTATATAAACGCACGCCACCGTCCAAACCAGACCATCCTTTCAATGCTGCCTGTCGCTGGATTGCTGAGAGAGAAGGCTTCAGTACGTGGGAAGACAGGGAAAAAGCCCGTCTTTATCGTAAGTCATCCATCCAAGCAAGCCAAGCATATTTGTGTTAATTGGTGAACTAGCTCCAACATCACGGCCCCCGTCGATCTCGCCAATAACCCCGATTGGGGATGAGTCTGCTAAAATAATCATCCCTTCTAAAGGATGTAAAGAACCTGAAAGATATCCTATTACTAGTCATGATTCGTCAGCAGATAAAGACGATTCAGATAGCCTATGCTCCAACTCAGACGCGATGTCAATTTCTACAGCAAATACGGAAATGTTGGTAGAAGAGTGGCAGAAGAAGGGTGGCGAAATTCCAGGCGATGAGGATTATTCTGCTTCCGGATCTGATGTTGACGATACTTCCGACGCCGAAAAAGATGATTGGGACAACCCCTCTTTGCATGCTATAAAGCCAAGCGGTTCCTCGGATCGCCCCTGGGCATTTTACGGCCTACGGAGTATAGAAGATACCGAAGATATAAATAAACCAATTAAAAAATCGCGAGAGTCGGGAGAGAACCAACTCTTTACGTCGATGGTTACAGGAATGGAATCAGCACGGGGGCTCGCGAGACGAGCGTGTTCATATCCTATTAACCCACAAGAATCTCACGAAAGTCATACATCTAGCACGAAAAAGCTACAAGGTTCCCATACAACACAACGTGCTGACCAGGTAGTTGATTTGCCTTTGGGATATAGAGCTGCCAGCGCCCCTCAAACTGATGTCAGTCGTATTGCATCGCCGGAATCAACCTTTGCAGCAATAATCAATAATATCCTTACAACACCTATCCCTGAAATAAAGGGAAACAAGGAAGCACATGTTGCCGACAAAGATATCGATGGAGACAGGGATATCTCGCTTCTTATCTACGGGGCGTCTAATGATGTCAAGTCGAAAACTGGCGACAAGATTCAGTGTAATCCTCATGGAAACCTCCAGGCCTTAAACTCGAAACAGGAGGCCAGTATCGATGAGGAGCGCGGCCATATAAATGCGGGAGATGAAATAATAGTGGATAAAGAACATCTTGTCGAGAGTAGACAAGCTACCACTGAAGAAACGATCCAGATAACACAGCATAAGGAAGAAAGCGAGAATGAGTCAAGCAAGCACAAGGGAGACCAGCTCCCTGAAACCGAAACGATTACTTCCTCTACCAACCAAACAACAGGTGCAAAGGTTCCTACATCTAGCTACTCCGTCAGTAACCCTTTTGCCGATGCTACATCGTCCCCAGGCAGTGCAGACTTTGAATTATCGCAATGTAGCAATGGAGCAACATCGTGGGAGAGATTGAACGAGGAAGAAGATTGTGTCAAGCTCTTCCACGATAAGGATCGAAAGATAATGGCGACCTGGCGAAGTCCGGTAGACGTTACGATTGATTTAATGAAAGTAGCCAGCTTCTTACGAGAGTCCGTCCCGGGATCTAACGGGAATAGCGTCATAGTATTAAACAACAAGGATGGTTCATCATGGAAACTCGTTTTTGGCCAGAGTAAAGAAAGTAAGCTCCTAGCTGGCAAGATTCAAAGTCGCGGGTTTATACGACAGCTTCGAAGCGCGAACCCCGACGTTAGGTGCTTGGAGAAAGTCTAGCCTGTATGGATATGGATATTGGGATGAGTTGTTATTTTGGAGGTGGGTTCGGGGTTTAAATAACAATAAAACTGATCGTCTAAGTATAAAATTCAAGAGAGGGAAAAACAGCTTGTGCTTCTTTCTCACCGTGGTTTACGATGACTTTACGAAAAGCCTTAATTGGTATTTTTCTTAGATTATTAGTTAGAGGTTTACGCTGGTCGTATATGTTAAAAGGTATCTTATTATACATACCTGTATGATACAGGTACATGGCATGGATATCAACTAGGTAGATACCTATATACATATAACACTTTCTTATTACGTATTAGAGTTACCGCCTACCTGGGTAGCTCCATAGGTACTTATCACATGTGAAAATACCGAGGGCTGCAAGAGAGAGGGTTTAGCGCTACTGCCCCGCGTTGTGAGTAGCTTCGCTAGGCTGATAGGGGTTTAAGCTACATTAGGCAACTAAGACTTTACGTATGTAGTATGTACCTAACACTATGGGCAATATTAAAGTTACCTTTAACCCGCATCATCTTATGTACCTATTGGCGCGCAATGTCTTGTCTTGTAAGGCATTTATCGGCTCTCAGAGAGTGAAGGTACGGGATCATCACAAGCCAAATTGAAAATAAGATTTCTTTGAATCATTTCTTATTTTCTTTTCATTTTTTATTACACCAATGTCTTCTATATTTATTTATTTGTATGTAGTGTTGCGATAGATTACACTTCAAACAGCTAGCACTATATACCAGAGTGTACATTACCGCGTTACATAACCAAGTTACACCATCGCTGAATGACGTCGTGTTCATACTAGTGTTCATAAGCAAACGGTGACAGCGGCAGCGGCAGCGGCAACGACAATAATAAGGTTGAGAAGGAGCTCTCAGATGAGCAAGCCCGAGTCGTCCGATTTAATAAGAGCCTAAGGTTCTAATAACCTTCAAAAGTACTTTAACGTTACTTCATACTTCATACTTCATTCTTTAGTCTTCAAGGATCGATAATCCGCCGCATCGCATTGCGCGCAGTCACAAACCACTTCAACTTCAGCCCTTGATGGCTGCTCTGGTAAGTTTATCACTTTCTGCTTCTGCCTAACCTAGTCAGTTAATAAATGTAATTTGTCCTTTCGCATACCCTTATCAATCACCAGGATTTACACGATTTACTCTTACAAGTTTTCTTCCTCTCTCTTCTTCTTCTTTTTCTCCCTCCATCATCTCTCTCTCTCTTACATACCTATGATCTCTGTTTATTGAAGGCGTCATCAAAAGCACATAAGCCCATAAGCCTCGGCAATTGCGCCCAGACCTTCTACCGGCTCTTCCATTTCTACCAACATCCACCTATGCGCATATACTGACCCTCTATTCTACTTTGTTTCCGCGCTATAGGACACGCCTTGGCTGACACACATGTCGACCCCGAAACATACTTCCCGTGGCGACGTCGACGGCTCCTCTACCCCTTCCGACCCTCCTCCTACCTACGCCCCTCCCACCTATGCTTCCTTTTCTACAGCGAACCTATCGACCGCTACCTCCGCTGCGAAGCGGAGATCGACTATTCTAGTCCACCAGAAGTCGCCACTGTTGCTCGCTACGCCGCCCCAGATTACCCGTGCTCTCGCATACAGTCACCCCTTCCTTTTGCCTCTGAATAAGCTTGTAGGCCTATTGACCTGGACTACTGGCGATCCGTGGGAGAGTTTTATACTACTTGCCATCTTCTGGTCAGCCGTTCAGTATGGCGACGTCATTGTGCGATTTGCCGGCCCTATCGTTGTGGTCATGGGCCTCGTAGGGGGTATGTACGGGCGACGATATAGTCCATTATCAAGCAGTGGCTGGGCTGAACATCCGAGCATGGCGAATAATAAAGAAAAGGCATCGAGCGCATCCGTCGGAGGAGGCGCAGGCGGCTCGCACCAGCGAAATTCGAGCGAACTTACTAGTACGAGGCATCAAAAAACCTTGGATGAGATCGTCGACACTGTCAAGGTCTTTACGACCAGGTGTAATATTCTACTCGAACCTCTTCTCGAAATGACCGATTTCCTATCTACCCAACGGACCGCTACCAGCGCTACTACGAGACCAGCACTCACTACATTATTTGTTCGAATACTGGCTATTACGCCCGCTTGGGTAGTCCTAACGCTCCCGCCGCTAAGAATTTTAACAACGAAGAGGGTAGTGTTGGTGTTCGGGACCTTAGTGCTTACATGGCACTCGAAGATCTGCCGAGTATCCAGAACGCTGCTTTGGCGAAGTGCTACTATACGCAGGCTTGCGAGATTGGTCACGGGATTGCAATTTGAAGAGCCAGCTAAGACAAAGCCTAAAGGTGCCGATGGGAATGGGACTCTCACAACCACTAAGGTGAAGCAGCCACGCGAAGTTACAAAGATATCAAAATCTGCTCTGACAGAGGCTTTAAAACGGAGCAGTCGCTCCGGAGCTAAGGACTCAGGCGTACGCTTCACTTTTATCATTTACGAAAACCAGAGACGCTGGCTAGGGTTAGGCTGGACCAACAATTTATTTGCTTACGAACGAGCGGCTTGGACGGACGAGCACAATAACCAAGTCCCGCCTAGAGACGAGTTTGAGCTGCCAGAGGTAGAAGACGGGCATGCAAAGTGGAGATGGGTCGAGGGAAGCAAATGGCGAGTCGATGGTGTGCTCGATATGGACGAGACAGATTACGATGCAGATGCCGGCAAAAATGGATGGATCTTCTACGATAACAAGGTACGGTTCATGCTAAGCCCAATTTGACTGGCTGATCTTGCTTAAAATTGAATAGTGGCAGAACGGTCGAAGAGGTAACGATGGTTGGGGTCGTTGGACACGTCGACGAAAATGGTATCGCGACGCCGAACTTGTTGAGGTTTCGGAGGTTTCGGGCGAGACGGCTTCTTCCCCGCCACCCGAATTGCCGACTCGGCCGCCCCCTGTTTCGGTGCATAGCTCGGAGAGAATGGACACCGCGTCTACCCTCTCGACTTCCATTCCAGACACGTCTTCAAATCAAGGGTCTGCTAAAGGTAGATTAAAGGAGGAAGACGATGCGGTTTCCGTCCTTAGCACATCATCAAAATCTGCTAGGTTCAGATTGTCCAGCCCTCAACTACGTCGACGAAATACAGGCGGCACGCATAGATCTAGGCGCACAAGCGAGACCGCTAGTTTACGTTCTAACGACGACGAAGGTAGTTTGACTCCAGCCTTAGAGCTGGAGATCCAGGGACATCAGAGAGACCAAGGTCAATGGGGCATTGGAGACGAGGCTCAAATGGGACTAGAGTGAGAAATATTTGTCATGATTCGATCACTATTTGTATTATGGTCACGACGGTTATTAGTGGGTAGCATTCGGAGGGCGTTTTGGTAGATACCAGAGGCATTGGGGGGTTTATTTTATTTTCTGTTATTGGTTCGCTGATCCTCGGAATAGCTTAGGTCTGGAGGGTGATGATCCAGCTACCAGAACGATGTGTGCTTTATATATTAATGAATTCAGAAGTTCAAGTACTTTGGCTCGTCAACCCTATCCAGGTAGAATTGTGTTTGTCTAACTAGCCTCCATCGAGTTGTTGCAATATAGCTTTGTTTTAATATATACACCTAGTTTTTCCACCAGAGTATCAGATCCGTCCGAAATGATAGATTGATTAATCTCGATCCTTCGAGATGTTAGCTCTGCGATGGCCGGCTGATATTCTTGGGCAGCACGGCAGAGGAATGCTCGTCGACGTCCTCGTTCTCGTCCTCGTCAGCCTCCTCGCCGACTCCTCCAATAGCTTTGTTAAATAGCAAGTCCATATCCTCTAAAGGTCGACCCTTCGTCTCAGGATAGAAGAGGATGATGATCTAAATTTAATATTAGGATAGGGCACCGGTGGGTTAATTATTAAGGGTAGTGAGAACCTACTGGGATACAGACGACATTGACTGCCATGAAAAAGAAATAGATCTTGGAGCCGATTGTATCGATACCAACGGGCCAAACTTGAGCCACGACAATGGAGCCGATAGCTCCGGCCGACGCAGAGAAATTAAGTCCCCGAGCACGAACGGAGGTAGGGAATATCTTGATTTTACGTTAGCATTTCGATACTCAGTTTGAGGCATTGAATAGTTCTCACCTCGGAGCCGTATACCCAAGCTGCCGGGCCGAACCCCATGCTATATCCCAAAGCATAGATGAAAATGAATACGATACAGACTACATCAGCAGCTCTATTGGTGTTATCCGGATATACTTGGCCTAACGCTCCGTTGATCTTGGATCAATAACTGTTAGTCAATGGTCTATGCAAGAGACAATAAGAGTTGCAGCAGGTTATATCAACTTACCAACATGCCAAACCCCATTGCGACACATCCTGCCGTCAATGTTACTCTTCGACCGAGGCGGTCGATGAGAAGCATCTCGATGACTGTCATGCCAATTTTAAGAGTCGATTCAATGCCTCCGGCCAGCAGCGTAACGCGCGTAGGAAGGCCGAGCTTGGCGAAGAGTGTCGGCAAATAATACTTCATAGCGGTAGCGCCACACATCTGTGCCATGAACTGAAGCAACGACGCGCGCCATAGACGCTCGAATAGGTTCCGATCTCGAAACAAGGACAACCAGTTAGCTTCTCCAGTCGCCCGGTGCGCTTCCACGTCCTCTCGGATGCGCGTCAACTCGGAGTCTATCTCGACCTCGGTAAAACTACCATCTCGTAACCAGTGCAGCGACCTTTGAGCCTTGTTATAGTGACCGTGTTCAATAAGCCAACGGGGGCTATATCATGTTTATTAGTGACATTGATGGGGCCTAGAAAAAGGTGTATCTTGGGAGAACGACTCACGTCTCGGGGATGAAAGGGAGCCCGACTGCAAAAATGACACAGGGGACCTGTATCACAGCAAGGGAAACCCGCCACGATACGTATATACCATATTCAGTTGTATTCCAAAACGTCACTCCGTATCCAACCCTATAAGTTATTATTTTAGTTGTATCATTTCAGAATGAGTCGAACAAGTTATAAATGCTTACCAAAAACCCGCTGCTAGGCCAGCAACAAAGCCAACATGATTCAGGACGACGTATTTCCCTCGTTTTCCTGCCGGGGCAACCTCACTGTGATGAAGTCAATATTAACCCTTGACCGCTTCTAAATAAGAGAAAAGAGGAGAGCACCTTTGGTATAGGGGCACTGAAGTTGACAGCATGCCCACTCCAATACCAGATATAATTCGGCCGACTATCATCATAGCGTACGCACCCGAGCCAGACGCTCCAGATTCGAAAGCATTGCCGACAGCAACGGTTAATATACCCGTCATTGCTGCGTACCGCCTCCCGAAGAGATCGCTGACCGGGTGCGAGATGAAAATATAGCTCAGCCCTACTATGGGTTAGCTTTACTCAAGAACGTAGCCTTCATCTCGTGAAAGCTCATAGTCTCGAATTCAAGAACTATGAAATGCCATATCATTCAAACTCGTGGAGTGGCGTATGATTTATCAAGAAGATGCAGTAGGGTATAAATGACTCCAATGACTCACTACAGCTTAATTAGTATATCCAAAGGTAGATGATAGAGAATACAGGGGTGTAGCCATACCATGTTCCCAAGTAATAAATAGCTGTGATTACTCCCTTTCGCGACGGTGTAAGATGGCCCATCGCTTTAAGAAATCCTGGATGTACCAGGACAGATGAGAGGATTCCGACATTATAGCCCCAGACGAATGAGCCAATCGCAAAGAATATGCATAATAAGTGAAGCCGAATATCAGCTTTTGTTACCAGCGCCATCATTACTCCGCGAAGTTTATGCCGAGAATAACAGCCAAGTTTAGAGCTATGTAAGACAACAAGGCGACAATAACTAAACTTGAGAAAGGAGAAAGCGTCTATCTGGCTTACGATCTAAAAGCCGAAGGGTCAACAACAACTTATTCGGATCCAAAAAAGGTGTAAAATAGTCTGCTTCACACCCTTAATAAGTTCAAAGCGCAACCTATAGTATAATGTCACCCCTCTCCGTGAGCCAGCAAGCTGACCTCGTTCAGCTGCCTATTCTATAACTAGTGCCCCGCGGAGAGTATACACACAGCTTACCCATCGCGCTGGGAATATCTCCCGCGTCGAAGAAATGGCTGCGTGTCACCCCCGCATTAGCCTGCCATCCAGATTTCGAACCTCGACTATTTTGTCTACGTTGAGTGTTATAATGGTATGGTATAGCTGGCACCGGGGGGTCTTCCCCAAAAATCTACTGGCGTTTGGGAATGCAAGCCAAGAGTCGTACGTAGCACGGCACCAAATATAGTGTAGGGGACGAGTGGACGTACATAGTAACTCGGCACCTGGATGTTGTGCGCGTAGGGGGCGGCGAGTATTATTGGATGCGGATAAATTGCATTTGGTAACACCCCAGCCGCTGGGTATATTGCCGTTGGGAGATAACCCTCGATTCGGAGCCGGACGAGCCTTATGTCTAATTCGGTTTACTGAATCTGGTCTGCGTAATTAAAACATGAAATTAATGAAGATGACAAGATAGTAGACATTTACCCTAGGAGAAACTCAGACGGAGAGGGCTTCCGCAGACGAGAGATATAAGAGAAGAATCGTAGCATGTTGTGCTGCCGAGAACATTTGCACGTGTACCTCCTATCTCAGAGACGAGAGTCGAATAGCTCTCGTGTAATACAATTTGAATTTCTCTTATTCCTTCTAAACACACCGATCTAAGAGTAAAATCGAAGGACCTATTCTCCTATAGACAGGAGTAGCCATGTTTATAAAACTGGACAAACAATAGTGGTGTTAGAGCTGAGTGGTTTCTTACCATCCAAGCTCTCCAAACCGATACAAACGTCAATATGGGTCGGGATATGCAAGCAGCCGAGAGATTGCTCTCCACGGGAAACGGTAAGTAGTAGGTAGGAGAGAGAGAGAGAGACAGGAGGATATTGTTGTAATAACAAAAAGCTAATTATATATCACCAACCACAAGACCTCGATTCCGAAATCCGAATCGCCGCACACACGGCCCGCGAAAATACCAGTGGCCAGCAAACAAACATAGAGCAAACCGCACCGCCGAAGCCTACGGAAGTCCGATGGCGAGATCTACCTAACAAAGACCAGCTATTCATCCTATCTCTCTGCCGTCTATCCGAGCCGCTCTCCAACGTCTGTCTACTACCGTATATATTCTACCTCGTACGCTCTGTCCTCCCACCCGCAACCCCATACCCTTCCGGCGCCGGCGACGATGGCCAGCCTCAGGAAACTGCCGATGCAGCAGCGGCGCGTATATCCGAGTTCTCCGGGTTGCTGGTAGCCGCGTTTCCGCTGGCGCAGTTTCTCGTGAGTCTGCCGTGGGGCCGGCTGTCGGATAAGCATGGGCGGCGACTGTCGATCGTAGGCGGACTGGCGGTATCCGTGCTGGCGAACGTTGGGTTCGGGTTCTCCCGGTCGTTTGGCGCTCTGCTGTTCTGGAGGATATTGGCGGGTCTTGCGAACGGGAATGTTGGTATAATGCGCACCGTGACGGCCGAAGTCGTGCGCGAGCGCAAGTATCAGACCAAAGCTTTTCTCTTGCTGCCTCTGGTATTTAACGCCGGTATGGTGGCTAGCCTGGCCTTGGGCGGAAGTCTAGCAGAACCTGTTGTTAACCTGGAGTGGCTGTTTGGGCCGGACGGGGTCTTGAATACGAGTCGGAATCCTGATGGCGTGGCTTGGGCCCTCGAATACCCGTACGCGTTACCTGCGCTCTTGAACGCCGCCATATTAGCTGCGTCTCTGATTTTAGCAGCAGGTGGTCTCAAAGAAACCCTTCCTGGTAAGGAGGACCAGAGCGATATTGGGCTCAAGATCGGAGCGGCTATTATGCGTTGGGCTAAGCGTCTACGGCGAAAGGAAGAAAGGCAGGAATACGTGAGGATAGACAGCAGTGAGGATACTTTCCTGGGTCAAACCCAGCAAGAGATCGAGAAGCCTCTACCAACAACGACACCTATCGGCCGTAGTAATCTTCCTTTCCGGAGTATTTGGACGCGTAGGGTGGTGTGCGCGTTGGTCTCGTTCGGACTGCTCCCGCTACACAACTCAGCCTTCATGCACATCTTCCCCGTCTATCTAAGTAGCCCTCCGGTCGACAACAGCGAGGCTACATTCTTCGCCTTTGCGGGAGGGTTGGGATTACGCTCATCTACTATCGGCATATGGCTCTCGATCTTCGGCGTCGGCGGTATCCTCCTGCAGCTCTTTATATATCCACGGTTGCAGGCGCGCATCGGTACCCGCGGCGTCTTTCGAATCGCGCTGTTTTTGTTCCCAGTTACGTACGCCGCGGCGCCGTACCTATCGCTACTAGCGGGTAGCGGAGAGGATGGAGCTCGCTGGGTTTTCTTAGGGTTCGTTGTGTGCGTCCAGATTATGGCACGTACTATGGCTATACCCAGCACTGTGATTCTCTTAACTGAATCCGCA